TTCGCCAAGCTGTCCCTCCACCTACCATAAACAGCTACAGTCTAAAACTGAGCTTATAACAGGATTCATATAGCAACAAGAAGATTCTCTAAGACATGAGTTTACTGTGGATGCTTTTACTGGTGGTTTTGTGGTCCAATGTGAATCTATTTCTGGGGTTTAGGGATGCAAAATAAGTTATCATGCAATATCCTGTTGGGCTGCAGGATCCGGGTTGAAGTCAATCCTCCTTAACAAATACCAAACTGCACAAAAATGCACACACAAGAAAAAGGTGTGTCCCATGGTTAGGTAGGCGTTCATGTATCCAGTAGCACTGTAACAATAATCTAACCAATTGTTTCAACTTTTGCGTGTGCCACTCTATTTTCTGATCGCAATTTTATCGTTATATCGCGATATGAGCCCTCGCAATAAACATCGCACAACTCTGAATTGATCGCAATAAATCCGAAAAATGTGTGATTAAGGACTTAAATTCATGGATACTTTTTTTTAATCACAATTAATCACATCCTCTTCTGTCCCTGTAAGCGCAGCGTGGATAAGCCTTCTCAGTGTCTCCCTATACTCACAGTGATGTTAAGGAACAACACTGCTGCCTCTTTAAATGGCTCATTTCACTTAAAACAAAAAAACCTCCACCTTATGACATCAAACATTTCTCTTTTTTACCTTTCCTTTTTGGCTGTCTTGCAGCATCATTAAAATACTTGCTGTTGCCCGTGTGGCTTTAAAGATGTTGCTAACATTGCCAAAAGATAGTCCACACACATTGTTGCTACTTTTATATTAAATATATAATCTTTATTTAGAATGCAGATTTCACCTCTCAATAAACATACCCAACTGTTATTACAAGTGAAGGTAGTTTGATTAAACAAACATGTCACTATCAATCACCAGCATAAACACCATCCAGCTTTGTGGGGACTTTAAGGTGCAGTAAAACATAATTTTGGAAATAGACCTCATCGTTCCCCCGGCTGTTTCCAGCTGACCTAAATACGGAGAACCTACAGCTGATGAGTTCCCTCTTTCAAGCAGAACAGTTAAACAGCCGCTGTGTTGACAGACAGCAGAGAAGCATGTTGGTGTAAGGATGCGTCAGCGACACTCTGCTGTGTGCCATTTTTCCAGGCAAAAGTAGTCCCAATACACACCAGGACAAATAAGGATCGAGTGATGTTAAACTGCATTAGTAAGCAGAAAGTTAGCTGCAACTGGGATCTGATTATCATCGAACCTGTGGCCAAGTAAAATGCTGTTCCTGTCTGTCATTGTGGATGATTAGCAAAGGACAAAGTTGCAGGAAATGTCTGCATGAGGTCATCCATTTGTGTTTTGTAATGGATTTTTTTTCGAGGACACATTTTACTCACAGCTCGTGTGAGAAATTCAACAATAATTTAATACGTAATATTCTTGTTTAGTCGATACTGCATGGACGAAGGTTTCTCACAAATAGCGAAATATCAAAGATACCCAGACTTGAAGTTTCCTTGACATTACTGTAGTGCGACGTGTTGAAATGTGTGACCAAATTAATATTTCTGACTGACTACACTCCTTATGAAGGTTTTTCTGAGAAGCATGTGTATATAAACCCAAGCATATTGTGATTACTAAGAGCTTTCCTTCAGTATTGACACTCTGAAGCTTTGTTCCTTCTACTTGCAAGAAGAATTAAACTAAACAAAGACATTGATTGACTCATAATTCTTTCTTTTGCATTGTTAACAGAAATTTCCAGCACACTTTCTTGCAGACTTAATAGTAGCTCTGTGAAAGAAAACAAAACTGAGCTAAACTTATTCAGACATACCAGAATGAATGAGGCTATCACAGTTTTTTTTTCTTTAAAAAAAAAGTGGATGCTAAAAGCTTTATCTGGTCTTTAACAGCACTGCCAGCGGCTTTGCTATTCATTAAGTGCCTCCACATGTGAAGCGTAAAGAAGGAAACCTCAGAGGGTCTGCCACATTTCAATAAGCAAAGATTGTGCCAATGACAGTTGCTGTGGCTTTTCAGAAATAGCGAGGGGGGTGTCTCAGGGGCACATATAGATAGCAAATGTGATTCCAGCTGCCACTGCGGCCTCCTGGTCTTAATGATAGGGCAGTTGATTGAGTGGAGTGTTTCTTCTCCCAACGCCCTGAGCTGTGTATCAAGTTGCAGGACCATTGTTGATCAGAGCTACTTTTGCCATAACATGAAATAAACAGCTGATGAGGATTAAACAGCTGTCGTCCTCTGCCCCAAGGGGGACCCTTAATCATGTGTGCATGTGCGCGTGGTCTTGAACTTGACAGCCATTATCAGTTTAATTCTGTTCCACTATTTCAATCTGACACCATCCTCTGGTTCATTTCTTTTCAGGTCTTTCCTGCATTTGCTTTTATCCTACAATGTTGAACACCTGCTCTTCTAGTTTGACATGTTGTTTTTGTTGTGTGTAGTTCCTGTTTTGTTTTCTGAAAGGTCGAAAAGTCAAGAGCTCATATTTTTTGTTGTGTCTCTTTATATTCAGTTTAATGCAGTCTTAGTTACCATGGGATTCGGCCTATCTCAAAATAGTGAAACTGTTTATAGACGGGCGAGGGAACAGAGAACCGGACCGCCAATGTTTGATCTTAAACTGGAATATGGCTAATATGAGACAAATATATGCGTCTTCTTGCAGAAATCCATGCTTGTGATGATTTGGAAACATTGCAATCTCATGTTGTGGTCCTCTGTAAAATAAGATGAGAGTGGATAATAATCTTACATATTCTTAATCATTTAATTTTCTTAGATGCACAGTGTATAATTTCCGCCACCAGTGGGCTCTACATCAAAACAATAACAAAAGATGACATTGAGGCTGGCATGGAATCATTGGATCTCGTCTCTATAGGGATCTCTGCTACTCCCCTCCAGCTCAACCCCCAACCCAAAGAGGATATGTTTAACAACAAGCTAATGTATCCAAGTACAGTTTACATTACGTTTCTTATCACCGCTTTCAGTAGCGGTCATGGACGTAACATTGTGGAAGCGTTGTAAAAAGAAGGACTGTGTTAAAAAGGGGAGGAATAAATGTTAATATGAGCAATAGTACAATAATACATATGACTGCACTAACATGGGCTTGTCAGTAACTGTATTTCTTGCGTGCAAATCTAGTAGTGAGTGATTACAGAGCAGATTTACTGAAACGCTGAAATCTCAGTGATTGGGCTGCAGCCCACACAGTGTGTGCAGGGACAGCTGCAGCTGGTTATCAGTCGAGGTCTCCGAGCGAGGCTATTGAATCAGACCGCAACCTTTCAATTCTGCTAACTTGTCTTTATATTGAATTTAAGTGGCAAGGACAGTGTTGTGGATCAACATCCAGTGTGCATACACTGTATACATAGTCAAACATAGCTGGAACAGGATTATGACGTGTCAATAAAGAGGTCCTAATGACTGAGTGAACATTAGGTATGTGTAGCTGTTTTGTTTTCAGTTTCTGCTGACACCAAATAAAAAGTTTCACGCAATCTATTATTGGCTGTATGAAAATGTCTGAAACACAGATGGGCTGGTTTTGCACACTTTATAAAATCTACCAAAGAGAATAATCCATTAGAATAAAAGGTCTCCTCTAAAATTCCATGCAACTAATGTGTGGAAAGATAAATTAAGCTGGCTGTTACGATTTATTTATTATACTGTTTAGCTACCACATGCTGGAAAGGGGCACATCTGAATGCCATTCTTATAAAAGTGCACAGTAAGCTAAATCGGCGGCCCATTTAGGCCAGCCCTTCAGGAAATTATTCTCTAAAAGCCAAAAACAACAAGCTGCTAGGAATGAGGCGAGTGGGAAGTTCATGGGGAGGAGGAGGAGGCTGCGGGAGGATGGATCTACTTCAGTACTCTAATATAGAGTGGAAAGGTTGCACACTGCGACCACCATGAGTTGGCGTGGCCTGCTTTTTAAATCCCTGTCATGTGCAGGGAAGGCTACTCTGCAATTTCCTCCACCTAAAGTCCCCGAAGATGACCCTTATAATGAAAGCTCAATTATTTGATCCCTGGCATTTACTGTACTCTGGGGATCATATGTCACAGATAAAGCCGTTGGACCTTGGTGAGAGCTATATGCTTCTACTATAGAAGTGTTATAATAATACAATAACATAATAATAATACAAAGAGGAATTTACAGGGGTAGCACTGTAGGAGTTGAGAATAAACAAAGTTAAAGTTAAAATAGATGGCCTGAGAGAACTTCTCTCTGAAACCAGATTCACAGTAGCTCATTAACCACAAGCAAATGTGATAAGGTTAGTTATTTATAGTTATAAGTTAGTTATAAGTTATTTTCCCATCAATCTAGTGGAGTGACGTTGAATTTAATCATTAGTTTTTTAACTAATCAGGAAGTTTAATATTAACCAGGACTTTTAAACACAAATGACAAGGCACATAAATAAAACAGAGACTTGATTAGACTGGAGTGAAACATTCTTCTTAAAGTCGTACATTTAGCAACAGTTTACAGCATTGTATTCATTGAGCTAAAGCATGTCATCGTCTGCATAAAACATTAAATGGTCTTCTTAAATGATCAGCAGAATTATAACATTTGTAAGACAAATCTAATCACATCTTTACCTTTTGTTTTGACGCTTTTGAACTAAATGGGAGCGATGTTTGTATGCTGATGATATAACGTTAAGTTTGTGGCTCAGTTGTGAGGCTCCGTGTATGTGTATGGTTAAATCATTGAAAGAAATTATGTTATTGCTTGTTAAGACAGGGAGTCAAGTATTTGTATTTGTTTGCATATTCCTGTAGCGGAGTGAATGCAAAAAATCTATGGTGTATCGTGATGACGGCTGTGTTTTTTTTAAGTACTATATCAACAGTTAAGTACTCAAATGACTGACGTAAGACGCCCTCTATGCAAATGATCAGAGACTAAATAAAACTGGTTCTGTTTGGATGCCCAACACTGCGACAGATTGCTTTCTTCCGTTTTCACAGCTGTCTTGTCCTTTCACTCGGGCTGCTTTAGAAGTGCATAGATGGCTTATTTGTGTTGGATATTGTCTTTCATGGACTTTTGACTCTTGGGACTCTTTAAGGATGTGTTTTTTGCCATGATACTTGTTCATTTCATCTTCAACCAGAAAGATAATATCACTTTAATGCTTTGAAAAGGTGGCTGGATTACTAATTTTATTTTATTTGTGTTGTGTTCCGAGTGTAACATTTCACAAAATCGTAATTTGGCTGTACAACGTTTTTTTTGTGTGACAGTTTGAGGTTGGCAGACCGCAGTGATGTCCAGATCCACAAAATCAGCCTCAAGGTCTCGGAGCCGCACGAGATCCCGGTCAAGATCCCGGTCCACCTCTCGATCCAGGAGTCGCTCAAGATCCAGGTCCAGGAAGCGTTACTACAGGTAGAGTCCAGTTTAATAATAATCTTTTTTTTCTGAATATTCTATTGGCTTTGTGTTGTGTGCTGTTTTGGTGCTTTTTACTCGGTTGTTCAAGATGCCTGACTGGACTTACTACTCATAATTTTATATTGATTCATAAGAGGTTTTATACAGCATGTATGAACTAAAAATTGCTTTGATCCAACAAGCATGAATGAGTATTGCCCAAATAATTTCAGCTGTCATGAAGAATAGAGAAGCTAGCAGCAGGTGCAGATTTTAAAGCCTTGTTGAATGAACATCAGTATTTGGATAATCCTTCCTTTCTTCTTGAGCTCATTTTCTGCTCAAAATCTACCTCTAAAATCTAAGATAGCATTAAGGGACTAACCATGCAATATGCTTGTAAGATTGGACTATTAAATTTGTTCATGTATGATAGTGAGAATGTCCACAAGGAGTTATTTGTTCTGTTATAATCACTGTCTCTTTGTTGCTACATATCTGGTGATTTTCTATCTGAAAGACCTTGTCTTGTCCTGAACTTTATGACTATGGTCTTATATGATCTTGAAAAAGCTGGTGAAGCGTATTAATGGATTTGGGTCCTCCTCAAAATTCTAAGTCGACTTCTGTATCCAGAGGAAATTGATGTTTGAGAGAGAAGTTCAGCTGCCGGTTACTGAATTTACTTAAGATAGAGTGAATATTATTGCAGATTGTATTGCACAGGAGCTTTTCTAGGAGTTGAACCTAGTAGTACATAAAAATATTTGATCAATCCTTTTACTGAGAGGGTTGTATTGTTTTGGTTGTACAAACTGCACAGGTAGTGGGGCTATCTGCCGGCTATGGTGTGCACTTAGGGAGGAAAAAGTAAAAGTTCTCTCTGATGCTTTTGCTGTTTCTGGCAGAATGGCTGTGGTACAGCAATAAAATGTGAGGGCGGCTCATTTCCTGGCAGTGCCAGAGCATCTATTAAAATTTGCATGACGAAGAGACATGGAAGGAATCTAATGGTGAACCCTTCCTAAACCCACCTTGCACATTTGCATCAAATGACTTTGTGGCTATACGGGGCAAGTCTACAAGCATGGATGCACACATTTGCACAAGTTGACTATAAACACAAAAGCGCATACATCCATCATCTCCTGGGACAAATAGCCCCAAATGTATAAACGTTAAATCAGAAAGAGTTCCACTTTAGCTTTTTCTGAACGTCCTTCTGATTGTCACAGCTCTTGCTTTGAACACGATCAACTCAGTAGCTGAATTGGACACAGATGTAGAATGTGTCTCAGCAGTGTAGCATGTTGACTTATCACTCAATAAATGAAATAAATTATCTTGTATCTTGATGAAATATGACCACAGTAAGATGATGATATCTGCTGTAATTTGATGGAACTTTTCTTCTGGTAGTAAAAGACCTTAGAATTATGATGTATTAGAGCTTTGCTAAACTGTGTGAACAGCGCATGTAGCTGGCGTGCAGCAAGGCAAAGGATTCCAGTAGGTTTTTTCCCCCCCCCTCTCATATAGTCCATGTGACTCAGTGCGTTCACCAGAGCAGTCCCGAGGAGATGTAGTATCTGTAGCTTGCACTGTTGAGTGTGCAGTGCTGCTCGGTGGTGCGCTGCCTTTTTTTAAACGCTCTGTATTCCAATGAAAAAACACACTAGGTGAGTGCTGTGCTTTTTCAGTTTTTCATATGGCTGTGTATGCGTGTCGTGTGGCATTGCTTTGCAACAATTTGAAGCATGGGCTCAGCTGTGTACGCATGTAGACTTTGTATGTCCTTTGTAATGTTTTACAAACCTTTAACATAAAATGGCTTAGAATGCTCTGATTTGATATGGCTGAGTGATTTATTTTTTATTTACTGACAGTTGTGATGAAGTTGCTGACTTTGTGGTTGTAGAAAAATGACATAACAGTACAGAAGTAGTTTAACGTCTACACCGGACATTGTTCCTTGATCTGATAGATGTCAGTAGGGGTATCTATTAGATGGATACAGATATGTTGGCATGCAGTCAGGATTTTAAATGTTATGCTTGTATAATTGTTGATTTGAAGAAGAGAACATTCTGTAGCATGGTTATAATCTTTAGTGTGTGTTTAAAGTTCGAGGCTGGAGAGCAGCTGAAAGCTTTTTTATCATTAGAGCAGCAGAGCCACCATGTGGACTACTTTGATACTGCAGCCTTGCCTAGGATCACAATGGGAAGTTCTGGTTTTCTGCATGCAGTCATTCTTTTTATGCTCCTATTTACAAGCATATGTTATGTCAATTCCAATAATGGAAATGAATGCAAAGTCATTCCCATATGTAAGGTTAGATTTGTTGTGTTTCTTTTACATTACAAGTTTACAGACAAAACACTTAAAAATCAACACAGGCAAAACTATTACAACGAGTACAGGCCAGAAAATGGAACACGTTCATGTTTGACATGTGTCCCAGGCTCATGTTTTACATGTTAAGAGAACAATATTCAAAATAAATTAAGGCCATGCATGTGTGATGGTATGATTTAGTTTTTTTTCTCATTCGGACTCCGAAAATGTTACATTTTGTCCATACTCTAACAGAGATTTTACATTTGCTCATTGTCAAGCAGCTGTGATTAATCTTTTAGCTAGTGATGTAAGATTAAGAGACCCACTTACTATTCTTTGTTATTAATATCTTTTAAAACTTGAACTCAATATTCTGCATTTCCCACTTTCCTTTGTTCACAGATCTAGGTCTCGGTCAGGTTCAAGATCTTATTCACCCCCTAATAACCGCGACAAGAAATATCCAAGGGGATACCAAAACAATCGGGAATTCCGGGGTTATAACCGCGGCTTCCGGAGGCCGTACAACTTCAGAGGTCGAGGGCGGGGCTACTTCCCACGTGGACGCTTCCAGCGTGGTGGTGGGGGTGGTGGCTATAACAATAATAACTTCCGGCAAAATTGGAAGAATTACAAGCAGCACCCTCAAAAACAGCAACACCAGCAGCAGCAGCAGCAGCAACAGCAACAGCAACAGCAACAATACTATTCACGAGGTCGACCTCACAACGTCCAGAAACGCTCAGGAAGCCCTTCTCATGGTCACTCTTACCACTCTGACAAGTCTTCCTCACCATTATCCAGGCACTCGCATCGTTCATCCTCTTCTTCACACTCCTCCTCTCCAAAATGCAGGCCAGGCTCGTTGCTGAGTAAGCAAGAGGAGCTTTCAGCCTTCAAGGAGGTCCAAAAGGAAGGAGGGGGAGATGGGGAGCCAGAGGAGCTTGTCGGAGTGTTGGCAGGAGACGCCAATGGAGATGCAGGCAATGGGAAAACTGAGGGGAAATGGAAGAGCCTGACAGAGTGCAACAGCAGTCCAAAGAGAGCGAGTCCCCTGGCAAGCTCTGCTGTAACTGTCGGTCAGAACATCAAAACTACTAAACAGTCAAGTCTCTCCCCAAAAATCACAAATAGCATCAGCAATGGCAACCCCTCTTCAAAAATAGTGTTTAATTCATCACCAACAAAAAAAGCCTCACATGAAGGTCTAAATCCCATGCTTCCCAGCTTTGACTTCTTCTCCAATGAGGAATACCTGGATGGAGATAAAACAGCCATCTCCATCGCCTTTGGAAAGTAAGACATCTTTTCCTTTTTCTTTCTAAAATTGATTCTGAGATTATTTTAAAGACATATAACTATGAAATGTTGTTCATGCCAACATACATTGCATTTCCTTGACTTAATGAGATTCAGTGTTCAAGTATGGTTCCAGAAAACAGAATTAATTTTTCCTTATTTTTGGGCAGGCTGGTGGTGCGCGCACTGATAACGTTAGCCACACTCTGCAGACCAGTTTGACATTATTTACTGGCAGACATTGTTATATCCCTATTATATCCCTCAGTTAACACAGCTCATAACATTTACTGAACGAGATATGATTCCCCTCAACTCTGTTGAAAGCATACAGATTTGGTGTATGAAGTAGCATTCATATGAGCAGCTTTTACAATAGCTGTAAATTTCATCGTTGATGAATGTGATGAACTGCTTAAAATTGTAATAAAAAAGGCTTCACACACTATGTTTTTAGACAGTGTTTAGTCATGTTAAACTAACTTTGCTAAATGTTTACTGTTTTCTGAGTGTTTTCTTACTTTTAGACCAGTTGATGTCTGGATATAAAGTTCTCTCACGCTGCACAGCCACTTAGATGCATTTTTTCATCTGTCATTTTTTAGGTTTTTGGAGGAGCAAAATAAAAAAGCCAATGCTTGGGAAAATAATAAGAATGCAGAATCAAATGATGTGGATATGGAAAAAGGGAAAGCAAATGGCAAAGCATCATCCACTATCACTGACTCAGTGTCAAAAAAGTATGTGGAAGACAATGATGGTGAAGTGTCTTTGAGCAGCCTTTTGAAAGCTTCTCCTTTTCTGTCTGCTGATGGAGAGGAGGAGGAGGAGATGATAGTCAAGTCTCTGTCAAAGTCCCTCCACAAGGACCAGCACAACGGGGATGAATCTTCGAAGCCAATTAGCAAGGTCACTCATTCTGCCCGTGAACTGTTTGAAGAATGCTTTGACAAATGGCACAATGTGGCCTATGCACAAGTTGCAAAATGTGACCTTGGCGCCATAGCAGAAGACGTTTATCTCAGTACAAAGCAAGATAAAGCAGCAGCTTTAGCTGCAGTGCTTGCCAAGAGGGAGTTAGAAAGAAAATTTGAGGAATTGTCCCCAGACATAATTGGTACAACAAGTAAGATGGCAAAAAAAACCTTTATACCATGTCCTACACCACCACCCAGGAGGAACTCTGAGAGAGAGATGTTCCTGATCAGGGACGATGACTCATCTTTCATGTCCTCAAGAAATCAGGAAGCTAAATTTAATGTCAAGATGGGGTTCCTTGGAGATAGCCTTATAAAGTGAGTATGAGACACTTTCTGGACTTTTCCTCGGTGAGCCAGAAGTCATTTATGAACATGCAGCTGCAAACGTTGGCACTCTCTCTATCTGTATGCTGATGATGTACTGATTTATCTGAAAAATTGCAAATCAAACAATTCATTTGTTTCCTTTTTTGATTTGTCTGATCAGAGTATATTTTTTTCTGTTTTTAGCCATGTTTTACAAGGAAGAGCAACAAACTAAGAAAATTGTTATTGTGATTTTCAGCTCCTCTGATATTTTAGCTGAGGAGCGACAGTTGTCACAGGATCTTGTGCAGTCCTCAAAAAAGGATCAGGAGTTTCGCTCCATCTTTCAACATGTTCATACAGCTCAGTTACAGAGGAGTCCCTCTGAGCTTTTTGCTCAACACATTGTCACCATCGTTCACCATGTTAAAGGTGAGTCATTCCCTCTCTTGCTGTTCTAACAGACAACATTAAAAACGGGGATTGGAACCTATTCATCTTTGTTTTTTAGAGATGACAATCATATTTCATCATTAAAGTCCGTTAAAGTTATGTAACACGTGACCAAATAATCTTTTAAATCTTCATAACAAACTCTTTTTTAAGGGGGACTGTAAAACAAGGCTTTAAATATTTACTTGTGTTTTTACTGTTGAACAACATTCATTCACTGCAGCATCCTTGAGAAAATGACACTATAAACACAAACAACTGTAACAGCTGTTTTCCTGTGTCCCTGTACAGCTCAGCACTTTCAGTCTTCTGGAATGACTCTAAACGAACGATTCACAGTGTACCAGAGACGAGCTGCAGAGAAGGAAATGATGAAGCCAAGAAAAAGCCCAGAGATACACAGGTAGAGTCGCCTATTGAGTGACCCTCTCACCTTCAGTGTGCTGTGGCTTCACCTCCTCTTTTAACAGCTTTCAGGTATTTTTCTCACCTTTCCTACCTGAAAATCACCAGACTATCTTGGCTTTTTTTGTTCTCATGCTTGGTGGAGGTCAGTTTTGTTTTCTCACCACCTTGTCCTTTCTTTTTTCTGTTTTGTGTTGTAGTTGCACTTCACTACATAGCTCTGTGTGTTTGGGCTCCTGTAACTTGAATCATATATTATGTGCTTTTAACTTTGTTGTCTCAACTATGTTTTTCCTCACAGAAGAATTGATGTTTCCCCAAGAGCTTTTAAGAAACACTCTCAAGTTTTTGAGGCCATGAAAAGCTCAGAGGAGGGCACTTACAAGGTGACTGAACATTTTGAAGTATGAAGTATGTTGGAAATACAAACAACAGAAACGAGTGAGCAAGATGCCTTTAGACTGCGCTCTTCTAAAACTTGTGGCTTTTCTTGAGAGGAGATGCACAAAGTCTAAGAAATGGCAAGGCAAATGAGGCACTTTGACTTTGTTGTTTGTTATACATTGCCTTCACACATGGTGATTGGTTAGAGTGTGGGCACAAGCCTGACCGAGGCTTATGAATCATATAAGTTCAGAAATGGAAGCCACTGTGCCAAAGCTGTTCAAGGGACTCAATTGCCTTCGTAAGTATTCTTCATAAGAATAAAGAACGGAAGTAAAAAAGCAAGCCCTTTATGCACCTATGCTTATTTGAGGCCTTATTCTTTAATACGCATTGACTAAAAAACCTTCAAACTCAACTATTTTTACAACTTCACATGTTTAATGTTTCCATATTTCTTTGTAATAAGGCATACATAAACTGATATTTCAAAAACAGGAAAAAAAAAAGCAAAGAAAGAAATTTTTCAGTTTTCTTTTATCAGAAAACATAGTTTGTTAGTAATTAATGAAATCACCTTTTGATTCCCTCGAATCAGATGTCCAAGGTATCTTTCCACAAGTTTCTCTCAATATTTCACTGGAATGTTGTCCCATTTCTCCTGACATAGCATGTTTTACCCGGTCAGGTTTGAAGGCCTCTGACTCGGACACACCTTTTTCAGTTAAGTCTCACTTCAATTCAAATGAGGGTTTTTTGATGGCCATTCCAATACTCCTTGTTTGTTGTCTGTGAGCGATTTTGTTAAGGCTTTGAAGTATACTTAGGGTTTTTATATTGGTAGACCTAATTGGGACCTAGTTTTGACATTTCCAGCTCATTCCTTGAGATGTCGCCTTGGTATTTGTAGATAATCTTTTCCTCATGATGTCCTCGATCATTTCGCAATGCACCAGGCCTTTTTCCTGCAAAACAGCTCAACATAATGCTGCCACCCCATGCTTCACAGCTGGAATGGTTTTATTGGATGGAAAACCTCAACCCTATTCCTTCCAACATAAAACTGATAATTTATCTCCTCTTGGGGGTGCCAAGGTGTTACCAAGCCCATTTAGCTTTAAAATTCCTCAAGCGAATTCTGAATCTACCCCTAGGTCACTCCCAGTTGGACAACCCCCCCCCCCCCCCCCCCAAAAAAAAAAAAAAATCCCAAACGACCTCAACTGTCTCTCTCAATGCTGCGTAGTGACTTTACTCCCAACCTCTACCAGCGCTCCCTTGGGCTGAAAAAACTCAAAACCTTTTGAGCTTCCTCTTCACCACAAAATTTCTGAACAAACCCTGCAATACTACTGACGCTGCACCAACCAGTCTGTCAATCTGGGCATCCATTTTACCTTCACTTGTGAATAAGAGCCTATATACTTGAATTTCCTGGCTTAAGGCAGTAACTCACTACAAAACAAGAGGGAGCTCTGTTTTTGGGCATTGAATTATAGCCTAAATCAGCATTCATCCCAACTTTTGGATGCTCACCTGCAAATCTTTTCTAGGAAATATTAGCTCAATTAAGTTTGACCTTGGCTATTATTTCAAAGTTTACCTTTGTGAAGTAAAATAAGGTACATTATAGACTTACAAAAAATGTATGGTCGCATGGAATATTTGAAATTGTGAAGAGTGAGTTTGAATGTGTAAAGCCTTTCTGTATATAAATACATGGTCTCAACTGTACTACTAAATTCAGTTCACTAAATGTGTTATTAATTCGCATGGACATAATCGGTGAAACATTTGTAATCTTTAAGTTTAAATCCTACTGAGATACAATAGACTGAGTAAACTTTAATAAGCATGAACAGTCCTTTCTTTTTGTTCTTACCCATTGTTGAAGGAGGAACCATGCGAGTGGTTTTGCTAGTTAAACAGCAGCTCTTTAAAGGTTTCTTTACTTTAGAGTAGGATACCAGCAACTATTTCCCAAAGCAATATCAAAGTTTCAAGATTGGTTTCCTCCCATCTAGGTAGAAAATGTTTTCGTTTATGTCTGTACGACAGTAAATACATGTACATATGAAATATTTCACAGTGCACATTCAGGCATTGTTTTAAAATACACTACAAATACCTGAAAATGTAATGTGGCTGAAACTTTCATGTTCAGAATTTGGGATACAGCTGCTACAAGTCTTATTCTACATGGAGCACAAACAAGCAAGAACATGAAAAATGCTTTGGCTGTTTGTTCTGGTTTATGGATGCTGGACTTAAGCATTTCAAAGAACCCCATTGGGATGTTTCCAATACACGTCCCAATGGCTGACCATCCAATATCTGACCTAATGTTGATGGTAATGAAATGCCTAACTAAAGCAAATAAAAGTATTTTCCTGTTTCCCTTAAAACTCAGTTAGCTGACTGGAAGGTAGAAAATAAATCTACAAACAAATGCTTTGGATAAGGATTTAGATTCTTTGGATACCCTTAAAAATGCAAAACTACTGGTTTGGCACTTTAAGTACATTGGAAAGTTTATATGGTTTTATTCTTGTTAGCTGGTTGTTAGAAGGGGTTTCCTCCTCTTTTCAATGGATGTCACTATTTAGTCTACAAACCAGCATGGCAGAGAGCAGACTGAGCATTTACATGCTAATCCAAAGTCTGTCCACGACGTTGTCTTCTGTTTTGATTTGCTCAGGACGGCGGGGAAAAAATGAAGGGTGACCCGATGGACCTTCGTTTGGATATTGAACGCCGCAAAAAATATTCCATCCATGAAAGAGATTATAATCAGGATCGTGGAAGAGATATGGGAGAGTCCCCAGATTCTAGTAAAGAAAGGTCTTTGGAAAGGTTCTCCAAATGCAACGAGAGATCAAAGTATGTGCAACCTCCATGTTCTAAATATCTACTGTTATTGAATACTTACATTTGTCTGCCACGCTTGATAGACAGTTAGGCATGAAGGTTTTGCATGTGCCATTTCTCCTTTTAGGAAAAATAAGAAGAAGCGCTCTCGCTCGAGTTCATCCTCATCTTCCTCATCGTCAAAGTCCCACAAGGAAGATATACCCCATAGCAAAACTGAGCCCAAAGATAAAGGCTTTACCAAGGCCCGACTGGGTGAACAGGAGACACCAGGACCAGCTGAAAGTGGAAGGCCTCGTGAAGGATTCGTAAGTTTTTCTGATGTTGAATAGTTTTGGCCAATGGGCTATGCTAAGTAATATTATAAAAATGACTTTCACAGTCTGCTGGGTATCAATCTTGCTTTTTTTCTCAATATTCTTCTGTGCAGCAAGTCCGAATTCGTGGAAGGAGCTGGAACAGAGGCAATTATCAGGGTAACTGTTCGCATAGTGGAAACATGTCAAACATGGAAGTACACCCAAAAAATGAAGACCCAGAGTTCATCCCCAAAAGCAGAAAATACTACTTGGTATGGATTTGTTTCTATTGCATGTCTCCCATTTGTTTTTCAACTAGCATTACCAAATACACCATTATGAAATAATGGGCAAAGCCATGGTATCAAAAAGTAAGGTTGCAGATTGCAACCAACACACAACAGCTTCTCTCACTGTCCATTTCCAAGTGTGTAAGAGAACCAGAGGTGAGCATTATACTTGCAAAAGGCCAACTCTTGAGCCAGTTTTTTTTTTCTGGGCTAGTGTACATGGAACATGGAAGTGCAACACAATGGACTGCATAGATGACACATTTGGCATTTATAGATATAAAGGACATGCAAAAGATAACAAAGCATAAAGATTAATTCAACATACTTATGAGTATTGAACTGCTGGAAATATATCTTCTTACAGATCCTGTATCTGACGTACTGGGCATTAAAAGGGTAGAAATGCTGTAATTGTTCCCTAGTTTAGTGTTTGAATATTGCACCCTTCTAGAAAAATAAGCATTCAGGCTGTCGCCAAACTGAAATAGACAGTTGTGTCAATAAAGTTATGTGTCTGTAACCAATGTTATTTATTCCTACCTGTATGTTTCGTGTCATTTGCACTGATTGTCAAAGTCCATAAGAAAGTCCTCTAAGGTGATCAATCCTTTTGTCCATGAATCCAGCCAGACAATTTAAATGTGATCGCATCACAAATCCTTACACAAGATTTGTAGTATACAAGCATTTGAAATGAATGATAGTGTTTGGTGAGTTTTATCACATTGGTATTGGATGGGTACTCTTACGGTTGATCACCCAACCCAGGAACCCAAGATGATATCAGGACAGTTCTTTTTTGTTTAAAAGACAACTGGATGGTATTTTCTCAGTTAATAAAGCTCAAGTTTGTGTTTTAATAATTGTTGACACCTCCATCCTTTTTTTCCGTTTTTCTCTCAGCATGATGACAGAGATGGTGAGTCAGAGTGGAAGTGGGTAGACAGCAGAGGGCGTGGACGAGGAAGTTTCCCACGTGGTAGGGCTCGATTCATCATCCGAAAAGCCACCGGGGGCCCCAACACAAGTGGTCAAAAATGGGCCCATGACAAGTTCCAGGTCAACGGGGAACAAGGTGGCAAGCAGGAGGATAAGACAACACAGGACCATAAAGGAGGAGGAATCGATGAATAGCATACTTGAGCAGGGAAATAATATGCTGAAAATCTTGATTTCCTCCTATGTTGTTAAAGGATCTGACTCCATCAGGGAATTCATAAATGCAGATGAAAATATTTTGCAACTCAGCTTTTAGTAAGGAAACTTTTTTCTTGAACTTCTATGTATAAAACTCATTTTTACTTACCTACATTAAGAGTCAATCTTCAAGATCTTGAAGAAGCACTGTTTCTTGGATGAATTGCTGAAATTTGAATTTATATTTTGTTTTGCTGGATTCTTTTTTATAAATTAGGCTACTACAAAAAACTCCTTTATGACATTTTCATTGATAAGTAAAAAAGGAAAAATGCATCATAGATCCAGTCAGATTGTGCCTTAAATATATCAAAGTTGTAATGTGTTTTTTGAGCTGACTAATTAATTAGTAGTGCGGTTAAATGCATAGAAACGCATAACAATTACCCAAAAGTTGTGTCTAGACTGGATTATATTACAGCAATATGTGCACTGTGGTTAACATCAACATACAACATCACGAAAAATTACCCTGATATGAAAACGGGACCAAACTGTACAGGGTCTGCATTTACAAAATTGTACAACATTTAAGAGGTCTACAAAATTTGCTGGCAGAAAATGTGACAGTTGTTATATGGTAACTTTTTGTACATTGTATTTGTTGTGTATAAAACATTTTGCTGTCTTTACAGTAAATCTTTGATTAACCTTGGATACCACTTAAGAATGTAGGCCTATTAAAATACTGGTCATATATTTTACTTCAAAGGCATTGTACTTTTTGTAACTGACAAGGCGAGATTTGGACCTTTTGTCCTTTTAGTTTTTATTGCGCTAGAATTTGACGCGTTGTTCATTTGCTGTTCATATTTTTTTCACCAGCCAGGTGATATAATCATATATGGAAATTGTGTGCAAACTGTGATAAAAGATGCCCCAATTGTTATTTTTTAAGTCTGTAGTTTGTAAGGAACTGCGACACAGGGTAGTTTTGGGGGTCAAGAATTTAAGTATGTCTAGAACTACAAATACAAAATAATTTCAGTGCATAATGATGTTCTAGATAAGACTTGGCTCATGCGTTAATGCCCATACCACTTAATCATACAACTGTTGTGCCTTACTGCAGACCTTGCGCTGGTCTTACTTTTAAAATAAAGGCCTACAATTTGAGATTTACATGTATTTGTTAAAAGGTAACCTGCTCATTGGATATTGCTTTTTTAAAGAGTGTTGTTACTGTTTGTTTCTCCGAGGCTGTAAATTAAAGAGACACTGATCACTTTAACGTTTGCACTGATGCGTCTTTTGTTGTCATTTCTCATAGGTCTACAAGTATTTCAGGTTTTTATTTCTTCTACTTTTGAGAACCAAACTGTGTCAGCCAGACTCCCACCAGTTTGCACAGGTTACGGTGCAGTCAACAGTGTGGCTCACCAAGTGAATCATCATTCAGAGGAATTGACCAGTACCTTACATGTCATTGTTCATTTCTGTGTAATTTCATTTCATGCATCATTTCTTCCAGAAGTGATGCAGAAACTTAATGTGAAGACGCTGAAAAGCAAGAGAGATCCTTTATTTTGCTTAAAAGTCTCATTTTCAATACATTTTTGTTTTGTACATAAATGTATCTGCTGCAGCACAAGAAACATGGCTAAGTAACCTGATAAAACTGCGTTTTAGGGGGAATAATCCATACATGAGCATACGTAATCTATAAATTTATGTCTATGAATCAATCTCCTCAATCCCGCAGGGGCCAGCTCTTAAAACTTAACATGACAAATGCACATAACCATATTACGGGCTTAAAGTCTGGGTAGAGCCAAGTCAAGGCAACATTTGTTTATCTAATCTCATCTGACTTTTTGTTTGTTGATCAGGGTTTGTACTAGTGAAAAATTGTGTCCAGGGAAAAACTTTGATAGAACAAGAAAAGACAGTATCCTACTGTTTCCTCAACCATGTCAAAGAGCAGAGTGAGATGACTGAGCTACTGATTCAGCATCATGAGAAAGTTGGTTATCAGACAATGACGCATTGTGACAAAGCACAGACCTATTTAACAGGAAACCCGTTGGCCAATCCAGGCCCGCTCACAACCTTAATCCGGCTCCTTTATCTTTTCTGAAATTAAAGAGTTGTGATAAGCATGCTGTTGATGCAGCCAAGCAGAGCTACACCAGTTCCTTCATGAGAGAATTATTATGTTATGAGATTGTCATTAAATTGGAAGGCTATCTAGCCCATTGATTATTACGGCTGTTGTTAAGCACAGATGTATTTTCTTTTCAGGTTTTAAGCCCTGACGTCTAAGCAGAGGGGACTTGGGTAAGTCAAACTTAACATTAAAAAGATGTTTAAGACAATATATTGTCTTTATAAAAGGGGTCATATTATGCTTTTTCTGGTTTTATATGCTCTTTAGTGTGTTTCCCAAGTGTCCTGTGCATGTTTAGGCACATCTATTTGCAAAAATTCAAAGTCCGCGGAAACGCGGCTTCTCCTACATTCTCCTGTTAGCTGCAGCATTAGCTGCATGTAACGCTCGGTTCTAGCCCCCCTCGAAAACATTTTGCCAGTGTGACGTCTTGTCAGTGTGATATCACTGATCTAAGCCCATTGGCTCGTTGTGGCAAGCCCAGCAGCTCATGTTGCACGTCCATTAACTTCTGTAGCACGGCCACGATATGCCGTAGCCTGCGGTAGCACAGTAGTGTTAAGGTGCTAATGTTTTTGCTCCCCTCGGGAACCAAAGTGGCTGTATTCCCAATATGGTAAAAGGGGCGTGACATTTCCGAGAACCGTGCTGAGCGACTGACCAATCAGATCAAACTTGGCACACGTGGGGACTCTGAACTTGGGCACTTCAGAGCCTTAGAGAGAGAGTCAGAAGCGAGCCGGTGCATGGAGCGGCAGTACATGAAAACAGACCCTTTTTTCGAACTTTAGCTATTGTGAACGTACTTTAGTAGGTACATAGATTAAATATACGAACCCCAAAAAGGGCATAATATGGGCTCTGTAAATCAACAATAGAAGTATCCTCTCGAATTAAAGAGGCACACTGATAACTCATTCGATTTATCTTCATTCAAAATGTAAATGTCCGGCCCCGTAGCACTTTATTTTTATTAGTCTCTTTGAAAAGTTAGCAAGAAGGTCTGACTACTGACAATCTTACACAGAAAGGGAAAACCCCAATAGTGACAAATTTAGCCCATGAGTGCACTGTCTAATTAAGGTATATTTCTATCTCCTTGTAAAATGTGGTTTGATACTTTTTCAGTGTGATGTTATGGATTGTGAAATTCACTCTTGCATAGCCTGGTTCTGCTTTCTATAAATAGACGTCCAAGTTTGCCTCAAGGGACTTATGAACAACACAACATAATGTAGCGTAACAGACACACAACTCAAACAAACCTCTTACAAGGAACCTGATGGAAGTAATTGAAGTCTGACTTTTCTTCAGCATGCAGACATACTGTATGAATGAAATCAACAGCTCTAGATTAAAGTGTTATTGTGCTAGCAATCAATGCTTTGAGGAACTCTGTTGACATGCTCCATTTTTAACCCTCTCCTATAATGAGTAATGTTCTTTCACTATAAACCTGTCTTACCTGTTCTTCTATTCCATACCCTCCCTCTCTCCTCCTCCTCCTCCCCTCTCTCTCTCTCTCTCTCCCTCCCTCACCCTCTGTGACCCATCCTACTCCTTGCATCTGACTTGCCCTGACTGGCCCGCAGGAAAAATTGCTCAATGTTAATGTTTGACAAGTAGGAAGAAGGGCCTTGGCTGCCATACCTCCGTGTCTCAGACAACACAGCCGCACTCTTTCGCTTGTCTTCAATACTTCTACAGGAGTTTGTAGCTTTGTGGAGGAATTACACGTTTAAATAGGAGGGAGAAAGACAGAAAGCTAAAATGGGTGAGTCAGCTTTGTCAAATTATGTTATGTACTGTTGGAATTTCTTATGTTTTCTGGGAATCTATGAATTTGATAGTATTTTTTTAAAAGTGCGAGTACAGAAATTACACAAATTAAATTGCGTCATATTTATTCTATATGGACATGCACGCAGAACTAAAGCATTGATATGTGGATACCAATAACTATGCAATGTATGCATCTGTGTTTGCAGGGAAATTGCAGTTATGATGTTTTCTGTGTTTTGGTAGTAAGTGCTGAAAACCTACTAATTCTGCCTGACTTTTCTGTTATTTGTTAGTTTTTCAGTCAAATAAAACACTGTTTATTTCTGTAGGATAATAAAGACTCATAAGTGACTGAAGAAACTGTACTGTATGGTTTATCTGCAATGATCTAAATTCCTTCCAAGCCTATATCCTTGGCTAGCCTCCACTGCTAGGTCTGGGTATTTGAAATGTCAGGGCACATCACTTGTGCAGCATGTACACCAGCCTTTGTGTGCAAAGGGTCTAATTTTCTGCCCCATTTACAGCTCCCACTGTAGAGGTGCTGGTGCTGGTTGACTTCGAGGGCACCATGGGAGACGAGCTCTCAGTGAGGATGGGGGATGTGGTCAAAAACGTCACCAAGGCCAGCGAGGAGGGCTGGCTGGAGGGGGAGCTGAGAGGGAAGAGAGGCATCTTTCCTGCTAACTTTGTCAAGGTCTGTAAACGCTACACATCCCATGACATTATACTACACTGTCATGGTGCTGTGTGTTAATGTGTGGCCATTTTTACCAGTGTGTTGTAAATATGCCTTTTTTAAGTCGTAATCTTTTTCATTCCAGGAGGTGCCCGTCAATTTGATGGGTGACAGCAAGAGGGAACCACGAAGCATTAGAACAAGTAAAGTGCCAAGTCACTATTTCCTTCCCTTTTTTTTCACAGCGATAAGCATATAGAAATGAAGCTTTATGCTTTGTCAAAAAAAGTATGTATCCCTTTGATGGCTACATGTTGTTTGGAGTTTTTCTTTTTCAGTTCCCTCATTGGTTTTTAATTTGTACTGAAACCTTGAGGGTCCCAAGACCTGCATCAGGAAAGTACTGTACAAAGCGAACATCTGCTTCTTATTTCAACACTTACTCACAACTTTTATTTCCTTATGTTGGGATATTACCTATATAGAGTTTGGATAAAAAATGTAATCGAGATTTTTATCTTCTGAGATTTTAAATAGATTCATAACTTCCAAAAATCTATTATTTTTGGCTAATCAGCCACTCCCAGCTAAGTGCTAAGGCTAGCTCTTTAACTCAGTAGAATGCCAAATGGAGCAGCAAGAAACTCAGCCTGACTCACAGATGAATAAAGTACATCCTGAAGTATGTACTAATTAAAAAATAGACTTTGAGTCATGAGAACAGAATAGTTTTGAATCGAAAATAGCTTCTCTATCGAATCATGACCCCAATAATCGAAATCCAATTGAATCGTGAGACACCCAAAGATTAACACAATCAGTTTATGGGTGTTTTTCAATGAAACTCCTCATGTTCAATGTCAATATCTATGTTCAATAGCCATTCACCTCCAATAACATCTTCAGAATATGAAACTCTTATCACAGCTTGCAGTTATAATAACAAACAAATAAACAAATATTTTACCATGCAATGAAAAAGTTGGTTGTTTTTGCTATTGTAACTTTGTCGGTCTTAAAAACACAAGTGTTTAAAATGGTGGCTAGTGTGACACATGCAAACAGCAAGACAGTACAGATAGCAAGCTGGCTGTAAATATAGGTCTACCACATCCTCGCCACACAAATCTTAATTATAATGTATGAAAATGGAGCAGATATAATCAAACAGTGGCTTTGACGGATTAGTGCCTGCCTTTGCTATCTTAGCGCTATCCTGTTGGGATTAGTCTGCATCCTTTCAAGCTAAACACATCATTATAGAGCTTGAGTTTCTTCGTCTGCACCACATCATTTTAAACTCTTCATCCCCTCTGTTCAAGTGGCTGCTCATTCTTTGTGTTTCCAGCGAAGAGGATGAAACAGGTGAGGAAATGTGAGGTGGCGTATGCCTACAACCCCATGAATGAAGATGAGCTGCCGCTGGTTGTTGGGGAGACTATAGAGATCATCAGAGAGGTAGAGTCCCCTTTTTTTAATAGCCTAAATCTTGGCATTATATGTTATTCAAAGTGTAAGGTTTGCTTGGAAAAATCTTCCCAGGGTAAATCAAAGCCTATTTCATGATAAAGTCACTGATTGTGTCTGGTGTTACGCTTCCTTTGTACTTGTAGCCGCAAGGTTAACAAAGCATGTTTTCCCAGACAAATCGGAGGTTTACGGAAATGCATGTGAACTGATCTGACTGGTTCTGAGGCTTTACGTCATCAATGCACTAACCAGAGATCTGAAAACAGTGACTTAAGTCTAAGGAATGTCCACTGGATGATACTGATTAAAGCTTCTGGAAGTATTCATGACTAAAAAAAAAACAATATATTGAGATTGAAACTTAAGTTATCGTCTATTGTCAGTCTACATAGTAAAAACAATTAGTCATGGAACATGTAATTCATGTAAGTAAACTTAAAGTTGTAGTACATGTTGTGGTAACTCATTATTTTTTGTTCATGTCATCACTAAAATAAACCTTTCCAAATTAGAGCAATGTTTCAAATTAATTGATTACAAAGAGGCATGCTTCTCGCACCATGCCCAATTGTTTACCGTGAAAAGGACTCAAAGGACAGAACAAACACCTAGCTGTGGGAGTGTCTCCCACCTGGGGTAGGGGTTACTGCCCCTTGTGATATCACAAAGGGAAAATCTCCAAATGGCCTGTTTGAGCACACATTTTCTGAAAAGTGGAGCAGGCAAAAGACAGAAAGGATGGACTTTTCTAATAATTGGGGGCATTTTTAGACAAGCTAGGGAAACATATTAGTGTTGGAAACCATTGTAAAATGTTTTATTAATGTCTGCATAACATATGACCAATAATTAATAATTTACAGTGTAACTTAAAAAAACGCAACTGAAGTTGACTTGAGTAAAAAAAAAAAAATGCCTCTCATCTGAAAGGCCTCTTCAGTTCTGACATTCCCAGAACTGAAAAAGCCTTTCTGGACCAATGGGAACCTAAACTACTCATTACTCATTTCAAAGAATATTTTAATTGCTTTCTAAAAACACACCTTAATTACTGTAAGAGAGCTATAATGACTTGAGCTTCCAGCAGTTTGAGAAAAATGTTTTTGCAGCAAAGTAATGCCAATTTAATGTTTTGTTACTGACTCTACCTCTTTTTTAATGATCCTCCTCAACAGATTGAAGATGGATGGTGGATGGGGATGAAAAATGGAAAAGTGGGCGCATTTCCATCTAATTTTGTCAAGGAAATATTTGTTTCGCCTAAAGGTTGGTGACTCCAACACTTCTGTTATTTCATCATGTTCCTTTTTCTGCACATGATCTAATCAAACATTGATAAAACAGCTCAATTCATCATTGGCAAACATTTTTACAGAGGGAAAGCACAATGAGAGCAAGGCAAGACCCAAGCTCACAGAGGCAGTGTTCAGTAAGGAGGTAAGAGTACAAACGTAATGTTTCTGAAATACATCAATTATTTATATTGAACTTCATGTTTTTATTATTCTCTTAAAGATATCTCAAAGGACAAGTGTGAGGAATAAAACAAAGCAAAGTAAGTCCCCATGTTTTAATTATATTACTAGTTTTGCTAGTTCTTAAAATTTGTGAAAAATCATGGACTTGATGCCAATGGAATTAAATTTGTATGTACTTTTTGGGTACTTTTGTTTCTATTTCCAAAACCACATTTCAAAAGTAGCTAGATAAGTGACATGTCTATTTTGGAACACCTGTGACAACTGGTAATTCCCACACTTTACCTGCTTATGGGCTTATGGGTGGGGTCAAATATTCACATTTACAGTATACTGAATCCTTTAATCAGTTTATAGAGCATTACGACTGAGCGGAAAATCTCTCAAGGATCAAAGTTTACACCTTTTATCTCTAAATGTCACAACTTCTTTCCGGTTATTTTCTGGGTAAAGATATGGGCTGTAAAGAATGATAAGATTAGTCTGTAATGTTTGAAGTTGTTATTCCTTTCTCACATGCCTTATAATGCGTAGGTTCTTTGGGGTTAGTAACTATGTTGTCTCTTAAACTGTGTTCTCAGAGGTGGAGTGTTGCCAAGTCATGTTTGACTACAAGGCCAAAGCAGAGGATGAGTTGGATCTGAAAAAGGGAGACATGGTGGTCATACTGAAAAAGGTATGGGCACATTGTTTGATTGTTTTTCTGACAGTGTTTCTCCATGATGTCATGCTTTCTTTTTGGCAGACTCATAAACACCACTGGGTGTTTATTTCGAAGAGGTTCCACAGTTGTATTATATTGTTCAACCAGGCAAACCAGTTGTGTCACCTTGACGCACATGTTTCCGTGACACAAATATGGCAGCCTTCCAAATTCATTGTATCGTTAGAAAAATCTAAGGTTTCTTATATAATTTCATTTTAAACTGATAACAGGGAAGCCATGTCTCGCTTGACCGCTTGGCAACCTCTTGCGCAGCAATTTCACGTCCCAGAGGACGCTGCTGTTGTGTTTGAGCTTCTAATGTGACTCTTTAATCTCCATCTGAAGGAAGCAGAAGATGAAGGCTGGTGGGAGGGAGAGTTAAACGGACACTGTGGCTTCTTCCCGGATAACTTTGTGATGGTGATTCCACCAATGGACAGTCTGCAAGTGAGTGGACTAGTGCTCTTTCCTTGTTGGACTGGACCAATCTTGTTGACGAGATATTCACGGTTTGACGACTTCTCTGTGCTACCATGAATCCATGGACCTACTTTATTGTAATGCATATTTTACATATCCTTTATATTTTTCAAATGGCTAAAGTTATGCTAGCTCTTCACTGGCTGGTACTTGTCAGTCAGTTTGCAGTGAGTCAGGGTTGTGTTCAACATCCTCTGTTTTGGAATTACTCACTAAAAATTCCCACAGTGGAAAGAGTGTGAAATAGAGATGCTTTTAAATCACAAGGGGACGTTCTTGCCAACCTGTTGACTTTTCCGTTTCTCCTCCTCTAGTCTGGGACCACAAGCCAACCGCCTGCTCGCGACGTCAACAAGAAACTCTCAGGTAAGAGAAGCAGATGTAATGTAGGCATTGATCAAACTCAGGGACAAATGTTGTTTGACACGCTTTAAAGGTTCCTGTCTGACTCATGACTTCTGGCTGTAGAGGTGTTTAAACTGGGCGTCTGGGCTGTGAAGGACTTTTGTTTTAGCAAATGGACTGTTTGGCAGCAGTTTCTGCAAGGGGATTTTCAGTGTGGTATAAAAGCAGTCAAAATGTCCCTGTGATCAATGCTGTTATTTCAATAGTGCTAAGGCAACTTAAAGCCTTGGAAGTATGTCCTCAACATTCATTTATAGCAGTTATTCTGTTCTTTTCCCTCCATGCTTTATTACCCAGTAGCAACTATACTAAGTACAACTGTAACATTTCTTCCTTATTGTACTTAAGAGATTCCAATTTGTGGTACTATAAATTTCTCCTACTCAAATTCAATTTGGAGGCAGTTATACTAAACTACACCACAAGTGTTCGCCAGCTGAGATTACAAATTATTTTGCAGATTTAAATTATACATTCAAAACTATTCAATTAATAAATGATGATTTAATAAAATGAACTGAGCTACTCAGTAGTACATGTAGCAGTTACACGTTCCTCTTCCCCTAGCAGCATTTTTTAACTATTCCTTCTACATAAACACACCCATAGTTAGACAAATGATGTAATGCTTTTGATTCTGAAATTTTGCTCACAAAAAAAATTTATTTGGATACATTTTTATGATAGTACTTATGTACTCATTCTTAACTAGAATGATGAGGTAGCTCTTTGTTTATCAAAGACTAGTCTAGTTTTTAATATGCTGGCATTGCTTCTTTTTATCTTGGTTAGAAAAGTAGTTCCCAAGCATTACTCAGGGAGTAGAAGACACAGTGAACTTGTCCTTTTAGAGGAAATGAGCATTAAATAGGCCTAGATCCATAAAATGCATCACGATTTATTCATCATGCATGATGATTACATGCATCATGCACAATCTATTAATATCTAGCATATGATTATCTCATATCATCAATATCGTATCTATCAATCAATCCATTTTTAATTGTATAGTACCAATTCATAACAAAGTTTATCTCAAGAGACTTCACAAAAAGAGCAGGTCTAGACTGCACGCTATGTACAATTACAAAGAGCCAACATTAATCCAACATGAGCACAGCACTAAGCAACATTTAGCAATTTGCCCCAGCTGTGTTGGGGTTGAGCTAGGGGGCAGAGGGGGACTTCTGGTCATCAAGGTCTTAATGTCCTTAAGGCAAGCTTCTTGTTTATATAACTAATTGGAGTCACTCGATTTAACTCATACGTATAGTTTAGTGTCATCTGCATAACAATGACAATTTACGGAGTGTTTCCACATGATATTACCTAGAGGAAGCATATTGTGTCGAATGCAGCACTTATCATGCATTCATGATTACGTTTAACCAAATCCTGTCTTTATATTTATATAAAGACTATATATATATATATATATATATAAGACTGTCTATATATATATATAATTAATACAACTTCAGAAAATTGAATTAATTAATGTTGTTCATTGTCAGATTACTGTACTAAAAGAGCAAACTGACATCAACAGCCTTTTGAACACAATAAAACAGAACAAAATCTGCCAGCTATACATATAGAGCAGGATGTGGCTTCTTCTCAGGCTGCAGCTGAGGAGTGTTGTCTGTTGTGCAAGATGCAAATTTAGCACAATGTTGGATAAAAAAAAAAAGTCAAACTTAGACTTCCTTGGTTGGAAAATCCAAACACATCAAAACCTGAGTAGTTTAAAGATCAAGTGGAAGAGCTCTGTTTAAGGTGATTGGCTTATCACCTTGAACAACCTGATTATCAGCAGAACAATGTCATCAAGTATACAATTGTTACAGTATTTTCATGCACAGGATGTCTGAGACTATAGAGAGAAGGGGGATGGTTAGACTGGTCATGTGACACAGTTCAGGAGTCTTGGAGGAAACAGGGGGAGGGGAGGGGGAGGGGGCAGAGGAGAGCTCTGTCACAGAGATTTTTCAAAACCAGCACAAGAAGCAGCAATTGAGCTACTGCTGCTGTGTGGATGGTTTGCTTGAGAGGAAATGTTGCACAATGCTTTGAACATTCAAGGTAGGCGTCCTGTTGTCTCATTCTGTATTTTGTGCAAAGTAATCTGCTCTTTATTAAGGATAAATAAGGGTAGTTTAACTTGTTAGATGCTTATATTTTCTCTGCACTTTTTCTGCACCTTTTTCTGTTTGGAATAGGCACTGTGAATTTCACAGCAAATTGGAACCTCTCAACCAAATGCATCTGTGCTCTTGGTCTCCAAGGCTTTATTTTTATGAGCTAGGCCAGAGTGACTGTCCCTGACGAACTCGTTTGGAACCCTTGAGAACATTTTCTGCAGTGCTATTGGCTACAGCTGTGGCCCAGCCTGCTTCAGTGATTGTTGACATCTCTGCCGTTCCATGCAACTGCTCATAAACTAGATTACAGTTTAATTCAAAAACCCAGAAGCGTTTTTTTTCTGCACCACATTAAACCTTAATGATTTCTGGGGTAAACAAATGCAAAATATTCTTTTTTGGTCAATAAAAATCAACCCACAGCGTTTACCGGCAGTGTTTTAGTCCTCCTAAGTCATGGGACTGAAAAAAATTATACAATAGAGAAAGAGTATAGTGTATCAGTGCTTTCAATTTACAGGAACGCACCTGCATGAGGTGTGAAAGCTTTTATTTATGGCAGGCAGATTTGCTGAGTATGCATGCTTTGTATTGTAGCAACACCCTGCTCTATATTCATGTTGTAACACACAATCACACCTCTGCAGATCGAAGAGCACCATCAAAGTAGTTGCTTGTAGGGTGCCATGGCACTAGATTTAAAACTTTTAGAGATTTCTAGTAAAAATCAAACTTGTTTGGATACCACAGCAACTAAAATAACAAGTTCTAGGTATCCAATTTTGGCTTATTTCTTGGTTTTAATTGCCTAAAATAATCCAGGCCAACTCCTACACAACATGATTGTTGCATTTTGGTACTGAAACTTTGCCAACTTATTTGTGCAATTGAAACAGGGCTCTCTCGCTTATGCTCGCAGCAGCTTTTAGTAAAAATTTGTAACCCGGAAATATTTTGGGACATATTAGTAAGCTGACCAATTGACTTATAATCATGACAGTTGTCTGTTCTAATGTACAATGTCACTGCTTCACTTTTGCATTAACTTCTCTCATTTTTTGTTTCTTTAAAAAATTACACGTCATACTTTTTAAGCTGCAACTGTTTTGTCCACTTGTCCAAAACAATTTTATGGATAAGACCCATTTTATACTATTTTCAGTAAAGACAGAGGCCTCAGCGATGGAGAAAGGTGGTCCAACAAAAACAAAAGGTAAAGGGCAGTGACTTAAAATAATAATAATTTGCGCCACATACCGTAACTTTCAAAGTTAAATAATGTTGAGGGGTAACATGATAAATTTGCTGTTCAGATGATAAACCGGACGTTAAGGACCTGAGAAGCAACCCTCCAACCAAAGTCAAACTGCCGTCATTCAACAAGCCCAGCCCGCCTCCAGTAAAAGACAAACCCAACAAGGATTTATCAAGGTGAGTGAAGCCAACAGCTCGGATATTGTGCCTCAGAACTAATCTCCATGCACAACCACTAAAGTCTACCAAGAGAATAATTCTTCCATGTTAGGGCCATGAATGGTAATTCAATAGCAACCTTTTTAAAGAAAAAAAGCCTTTAAGAAATGTCAGGACAAGTTTCTCCTCTTTAGTCTGGCACCGAGAGCGGCGCCTTCAGATGTTAAAGGTTTTGGTCTCCGCCATCAGTTGCCATGGTGTTCTTAAAGAAGAATGCCAGGATGCCCGACCTTTAGCGGCTTAGTGGAAACTCTAGGATGAGTCAGATCGGGCCTGAACAGACGAGAGCAGCCCATTTCCTGTTTCCTGGGCAAAACACACAGAAACAGGCACACACGCACAACTGAGAAAACAATAACAGGTCTGTCTTAAGGGGCCTGCTAATGGAGAACAAGCTTTTACTGAAATGTGTTTCCAAGCAAATATGTTTGGGATTCCTTCCAAGCCAGCTTCTCAAGAATCTTTCTAAATGTTTCAGTGCTAAAGCTGAATTTTCCAGGCCTTCAAGTCTGATTATTTATAAACCTAAAACTCTGTTTTACCTATGCATAAAGGTTAATCAAAAACAAGTTGTAAATGAGCTTTAACATGAATCCAGTGTTCATAAATGGGACAGATTGATACAGAGAGACTTTAAGACTTCCGCTGTCAAACTCTGCACCTGCATCCATCACAGTTAAGGAAACTGGAAACCACATCCTAAGTGTGCACCAATTTTCTTCCACCAGAAAAAATGTGAGAGATTTGTTGAGATATTCTGATATGTTTTCCGCCCCTTATGATTCTCCCTTTTCGTTTACTTTTATGAAAGGGTGACAGCAAAATACAACCAAATCTCAAGAAACTGTTGAACTTATTTCCAGCAGAACCAATGGTGATGTGGCCCCTGTATCTCCAAAACAACCGGAGGAGAAAGAGACCGACCAGTTCGATGGCGTGGATCTGCAGACTGAAAAGCTGAGTCATCCTACAGCAAACAGAGCCAAACCCCCACAGAGGAGACCACCATCAGGCCTGGTCGCAGCAGTCAGTGACAAACTCATATTCATTTATCACTTTTTTTCTTTATCACAACATTGGCTTGAAGTGTGAACAGTGTAGAAGTGCAGTTACATAATAACTAAGGCAGTAACAAGTGACCACAACAGTAATACTAACCAACATTTCTGCAGATGACCTTTGCAACCATAGATTATCTCTGCAACAATCAGACAACTCCTACTCTATCTTTTGCATACTTGTCAGGTATGGCATGCAGTCAACAAAAAAACACACTTGTTCTGCATTTAATATATAATAACACTTTTCTGTACCAACAATTTGCAACTTGGTGGAAGAGGTTTTTTTAGGCTCTGCACGTTATAGACTCTCTCATTTTGCAAAAAGGTTCCAGAGTTAGAAATTAGAATGCTTTAAAATATGTGATGTAGCCACAAGATGTGTTTGAACATGGGAAAGGCCCTTAAGAGAGACACGACCCAGGTTTTCATCATCAACAAGTTGCTACCTGATCTCAAGTGATTGTTTGAAGGCATTCTGAGAAATGCAGAAATCCTTGTTCCTTACAAAATGTGGCAGGCCAGTTTTTAAGGAAGGTTGTGAGCATTTGATAAGCAAAAAATAGCCTTCAATACACAGCTTTTGCTCATTTGCAGGCCTAGTTTTCTGGTTTGCAAATTCAAAACACGTATGAGTTAAGCTCTGCTCCAGTAAAGCACCATGTAATAGATATTGTATAAATATTTTAGCACTAAGCCATTGGAGGTCAGTGGTCTGTACAATGTCATGAAAAGCTATGTATTCTTTACAGAGCACAGAAAATCTTCTGCCATCACCTGCAAAGCCTGACCCCCGACCCAAGACACCGCCTCCGACTCGACCAGCACCACCCAAAGTTGTTGTGGATGGCAAAACTGTGACCCATAAAGACGACTCAAGCTTCGAGAGCCTGCAGGCAGAAATCAAAGAGCTGAGGATGGCTCTGGAGCTGCTGCAGACACGACAGGGGTGAGTACTGCTCATTTCTTTACAGCTGATTCAGATTATCTGAGTCAGGTTAAAAAATAATCAAAGATACTGTATTAATTTTTTTTAACCCTCATCTCTTGAATCACACACAGCGACTTCTTTGACTCAGAGGGTGTTAACAGACCCTCCCATCCTAAATTCATTTTGTGCTGTTTGTTGATGTTAGCACACACAGGAAGTGACAAATGAAAACCTAAAAGTGGAGCAAAAATTGCGTAGTACATATTAGTTCCCCATTCCAAACAAAGATACAGACTGAAGGAAAGTTGACTCTTTAGCATGTCTTGTCTCTTTGGTATGCTTTTACATGAAACAGCCACACAGACTGGTTGGTAAACATGAGCCATGGTGTGTGCGGTTGCAGACATTGTGAAGTTCTGCCCAAAGAACTTCCTGCACCCGAAACATTTGATTTCAACCACAGTAGCTTTAAAGATTAATCTAAAGGGAAATACATTTAAAAAGCATATTTAGCCTAGAAATGTTGTTCCATGTTACGAAAAAATTAACATCTTCTTTAGACAAAAATAAACTCATTGTCCATACAAACTGCTTTGTTCCATGATTAGACATTTTAAGGACTATGCAGATGTGTATCCACTGGGCTTGATTGACATCTCTATTAATGTCCTGTGGACATAGCTACAACACAAACATATGACTTAGCTAAAACAGCTAAAGCTATAGACTAAACAATGGGCTGAACCTAAAACTGCATGAAAAGTGGAGCTAGAGATTTAGGCGACAGGTGCATCAACATGAATGACCCCTTTCACATTAAAAAAGCTAAACTGTCATTTGATTATTGGCACATCCTTCAATCCTCAAGACACCATTGCACAAATATCGGTTTCAGCGCTGCTGCTAAATTAAAGTGATTAAACCTTTTCTTAGTTGGAAATAGCCTAACAAATTATGCATAGTTTTACTTGACAGTCAGTGAATGTTGACCTACTTAGACTCACTCATGTCTGTAACCTCCTGGTTTTCTGTCTGTCCCTTTTGATCAGGCGAGACATACAAGAAGTGAAAGAAGAACTTAAGGAGGAGAGAAACAAGCGATTGGCACTGCAGGTCAGTGAGCCGTGTTTTTTTTTTGCATGTTTTGTCTGCTCTATATTGCAGAAGTTGTGTTCACAAAGATCATTTTCTAATTGTGGGAAACGTTGTTGTTTTCATTCAGGAGGAAATAAAAGCTTTGAGGATGAAGCATTAATCCCAACACAGACTGGGACTGGGCTGCCTGTCCGACACTGTGCCATGCCGATCTTTGTACTGCAAGGCTCAGTTAAGACGGACATTTTTCTGACATGGTTTGGACATGGTGAAGACAAGCCCGCGCTCCAACTGCAGGCACACAATCAGGGACTATATTCTGAAGTAAAGTTAAAAAAAAAAAGGATCAAGCTAACCCTGCTCTGAACTGTAGAAGCCTGATTCTTCAAAAGACGTTTTTATATATTTGAATGCTGTAAATCTCAAATATTGGTCTTAAGTGGGTTACTCGTGGTTGCTAATGACTGTTTTGTGTTTTTCTGTTTCAACTGTCACCTTTCGTACCTTTATCATCGATCTTACTGTACTTTTTACATTTTAAAACCGAATGCAACATGTAATATATGCAAACTGCATAAGAGGATTTATTGTGATGTCTTTTGCAAAGACCTAAAATATAATTTTAAGTCATCAATGCACTGTTATCTGAATGTTTATATATGCAAAACTACCAAAAAAAAACAAAGCTGATGTGCAGATGTTTGCTACACCAGAATGTAACACTGCATTGAGCCACTGGGGGGGCACTGTTAGACAATTCTCCACAGAGACAAGCGCTTAACTTTTTAGTGAATGCTGGATTGGTGGAAGGGGATGTGGTACTAGAAGTGACCTCCCAACAAAAAACAAAAAACAAAACAAACAAAAAACCTATTTCATTCAGAGGGGCATGTGTTAAGATTTATGCAAATGATAATGTTAATGGATAGTGCTTTTATGAAACAAAAAGCTGTTGAAATGCTTCAGGAGTTATGCAGAGGTTGTGGTTGCCTGCTTTTTTTTTTTTTTTTTAGCATTTAAGTGTAAAAGGCATCCCATGTCACTCAGAGAAAAACTGACTCACTCTGAAAACTCTGAACATTGTGACTCATCGCGATGGATGTAGAGAGCGTGGGAAGGGAGTCAATGACAAATATTTTGCACCCACAAGAGGGAGAGCTATTTAACTTCATCAAGGGGTATAGATTTGGTTTTGGCAGCGTTGGTAGTAATAGTAGTAGTGGTTGTGTGTTCCTGTCCAAGCCTACTTGAGTTGCCCGCTGCAGAGCACATCTGGATGACATCTGGAGCTCATCAGTGAACGGGTGCTTCTGAAACTACCATGGAAACATACTATTTTTAAAATTCAGTTAAATAATAGTCTTCAAGGGAACACTCCACATTGGGGGAAGGGACAAGAGGTGAAATAAATCAAACTAAACAAACATGGGCAAAGTTGATATTGCAGGCATTGGTGATTTTTTCTAAATACATAAAAACCAAATGCCCTGTCTGTAAAACCAAAGTAAAGATTGAACTATTTCCACTTCTCAAGTACTTAATGTCAGTGATGTCAGATTCTGCTTACTCTGGAGGTATTCCTATGAATGATAACAAACAGCATATGGATATTTGACTCATGGAAGAAATAGAGAAGAAATAGAAGAAATAGTAGGTCTCAGACTTAAACGACAAAGCACAGTGCACTCGGTGAAGCTCTGAATACTGAGTGCTGAAAAGTGAAGCAGTTTGGAGCTCAGAGGTCAAATGCAAAAAAAAGATCTCCTCTGAGTTAAATTTAGAAATGGAGAAAAAGGAGCTGAACCGAAAAAAAAAGAACAGTTCGCTTCTGTCGAAGGGGAGAGCTTGGCCGTCGCAGAGAAAAAATATGCATGACCTCATGGGAAATGGTAATAAATCTGCAGAATATTTTAAATGGACTGAGATGGATCATAGGGCAGATCCAGAGTTCTATTAATAACCTTCAAACTATTTTGTTTGTTATCAGTCCATGATGGAATGGGATTAACCTAACTATTAAAAACAGTGGTTGCTAAACCTGACTGTATAGATGTTATGTGCTGTCAAGTCTGGTTTCTGGGTTTGGCCAAATGACCACAAAAGACAGTCAACTCTGTATGAAGCGATCTTTCACCCGCTGTGTTGTGGTTCAGTTTTATGGCATTCCCTAGCTGGATCTCCCTTATGTTGATATTCACAATGTTTTATTGCTACATTGTTCCATAACTGTGCAGCCAGAGGCCAAAATATGTCGCTTCTTATACATCTTAATTACATCCTCTGAAATCCAAAGAGACTATTCAAAATATTGTAAAGTGGGTCTTGTAAAACACATTTTGGATCCTATATTTGGAAGTTGACTCCATTCACTCTAGGTTTATACAAACATAATTACACAGCTACTTCAAAGCGTCCATACCATCAACGCCTCTGAATTCTAAAACCCCCTGACCACATCAGAAGCTTTTCCAAGACCCCAACAGAGGAGACTTCAATTTTGGGCTCCATCTAGAAACAGAAGAGGCCCCAAAGCAATCCTGTCTCTCATCCTCCAGCGGAGTTTGGGCTTTTTAGGACGACTCTATGGTGGAGGTTCTTGGCTTGTCTCCATCTTAAAAACCACCAAGTAATGCTACACCAACCTTGAGGATGTAAGTTGGGTCTAGGTTGGCACCCAGAAAGAGTTTGGGCATGTGCCATTTACTAATTAGTATTTTGCATTTTTCCTTTCTTTGCTTTATGCTTTATGGCATGCCAAGAATTCATACATCTTGTAAATCACCAAACTACCAAAGCTTGGCATGTGTTAATGTCCAGTACAAACATTCACTCAGTGTGGGTGATTCATCAATGTTCTTTCAGTCCTTACCAGCAGCCAAACAATATGTCCAGTCTATGTGAGTCTACTCACATGGAACTGAATTCATTAGATTTGGCCATCTTTCTCTGACTTTGTCACTCCCGAGAAACATTAACCAGAGTCAGATGAGTGATATTCCTCTAAAACTACATTAGATAGAGTCGGATGATGGCTGTAATGTAAAATGTATACGTGTGGGTCATTTCCAAATAACAGAAATATACTGCACTATCAAGTGTGTGCAGTCTCTGTGTGGCCATTGCTGCACAGAGTTCCTAGTCAAAAAGCATATAATCAAACAAACTTAGATAACTATAATTATGAAATGATAGTTGTGACCACCAGTAGGCTAGAATGAGCGTGCAAATTGTGAAAATTAAGGACGAACAATATGCAAGCAAAAGTACGGCAGACGGTCAAGTAAACAGAGATGAAAAATGTCTGTAATCTAACAAAATACAAGTGTCATGAAACGTGAAAATCACTGTCAGTCTTGTTTGTGATCAATATCATGCTGTGTTTCTTATGAAGCCAAGATTGGAGTGAAAAATTATGTAGAGAGATTTAAAACAGTTATGCAACATGCAAGACACTGTTACAAGCCAGAAGTCCTCCCGGAAAAACTGAACAAACTTGAAGGATAGATGCCACAGAAAAAATTAGGCCACTATAAAAAGCATCAAAGCATCATAATGCACATGCCACAAAACCAAGAGGGAAATTAACTCAGCCGCAATGGGGAGTTCTTAGTCATTCACAGTCACCAGTAAAAATAGTGAGCAACAGTGTAAGAGCAAAGCAAGAACATGGAAAGCATTTAGGAGAAAATAACACATATTCCACATGCAGCATTGCCTATAAGCAGACATTAGCAGGCAGAAAACTCAAAGACATGTAGCCTTAATAAGGCAGAAAAGTGGAAAGAAAAAAAACAAAATATAGACACATTCTGTCATTGTGTTAAATCTTGATGAATTCTAGAAAAACTGCTTCAGAGCTTTAGGGAAGCAAGAATGTATGAAGGCTAAACATTAATGTAAATAGGCATTAAATAGTTGTAATTCTATTATAGGCCTAATAGTTGTAATTTTTTAGTCTAAATACAAGTGGTGGACTGTCCCAATGTGTAGCCTGTCTGCTGGTGTGGCTAAATTATAAAAGAGTATAGGGAGAGCAACAATCAAATAGGCTATCATTCACAACATAACTGTTGGTATTTTTAGCACTTAGCTTGAAGGGAAACTTCAAGCTTCCAGGTGTGTGTGTGTTGGGACAGCTGATATGACGAGCAACACGGATACAAAGTTATAAAGACAAACGACCGCCACTTATTTGGACTCTTCGTCTCTAAATTTTCTCGAGGAAATAGTCTTACTACTTTTTCCACAGGAGTAGCTATAAAATGAACAAACGGGCCAGCAGGTGTTGACAGGTTAAGTGCACCGCGCGTGCAGAGAGAGGGTGCGTTTGATTTGTGTTACAAACAGTACCGACATGTCTACCTGAATACCCATCAAACTCCCTTCACTTTAATGGTTTATTTACTCCTCTAAATGAACTGTATTTCTTACAAGTGGCCATCCAATCTTCTTTATTGTCAAAACAACGTCGATGTTAGCCCATCTGACTCCACAGCCATTGGAAAACATGATGTTACACTGTTTTGGAGCCCCCGGCCATTTTATTACAAATCTGAAGGCCTATTATAACCTTTAAGGGGTAAATGAGAGACACTGAAGTAACACATGATAAAGAAAGGCCTTTTCATTAATCATCTTTCTCTCTCTTTATCTTGACTATGAATCCATGGCCCGACAACACAGAAAATGAGCTCATGCAGACCGTAGATTCATCCTATATAGAGCATTATGAGGAGAAACAACAGTAGGCTACATTATTTCCTCTTAATACTTTAATTCTGTCATTTCCTTTGGTGGAATTATCCCTGAAACACAGAAAAAGAAAGATTTAATGTAGCCCACTGGTGAATTATAGACTCAAATTTTAATTGTCTTTACATTTTACTCTAGGCTACATGTAGACTGATCCCCTAAAATTGATGTTCTTATGGAATTTCCTTATACAGCAATCCTGAGGGTGTTTTTTTTGGGAGGAGATTCAAGGTTTTTGGGTTTGTTTTTTCACAAAAAGTCTAAGGAAAATTTTCTTCAGAACAGACAGATAATCTTCATTGCAACATACAGTACATAATACGTACATCATCCTTACATAATGCTTCCATTTTCACTTGCAAACTAAACAAACAGATACGTTGTGTGCATTTTCGTCTTAAAGCACCACACATCTTAAAAGGCTGAGTGTCCTTCAGCTTCAACATTCATTCTGCATCTTTTCCATTTGGGTTACTCAGTTTTTAAGACACCTTTGGTTTAATTTCATGTAGGCTAGTTAGTTTAAAAATAACATTGCTACATAGGAAGTGCAATATCATATAGCTCAATCAGAGCTAAATATAAGAATGTCTTTGTGTCTTATCACTTTGGTCCTGCTTCATGACACAAGCTCATGGGTCTCTCAGGCTTCAGGTGTATCGAGCCCAACCGAGCTAAGGTTTATGTTTGACCTCCACAGGGCTCACATTCTTTCCCATGATGCCTTGTTTGTCTTAGTAGTAATGCACTCTTCCAATAGTCCCTGTCCCCGTCCCTAGTATGTCAGGCTGGCCGTTCCTCCAGATCTCACGTATGATTCGTTCCCTCTCCTCCAGTCGCTGTGCCCGCTCCAGCTCCTCAGCTGAGGTAAATACGTTCACACTCAGCGACCCGTCTATTTGGCTGGTATGATTACCAACCGGGATTTCTGTGCTGGGCAAGGTTAAAGGAACCTCGACATCGTCCCGAATGTCATCGTCGTCATCATCGTCACTCTCCTCGTCCTCCTGACTGATGTCCTTTAACTTTTTTTTCTCAGGCGTGGAAGGGGCGATGTTTGTCCGCGGCTTGCAGGAGATGCGGATGACCAGGAGGCAGAGCGTGAGCACCAGGCCGAAACACACTCCGAGCACAAAGTACAGGCCAAAGCTCTCTGGGTTAGCTAAAGACAAATGAGAAATGAACAACATTAATGTCAGTTTTTTTTAAGTTAGAGGTCAAAATGTCTACATTTAACCCTTTATAGGGAACTCATTGAAATACGAGAGTGTTATTTGAGACACTTGTATTTGTTTGTTCTGTTGTTTGTTTTAATGTTTAATATCTGTCCAGATATTAATGTTGTTTAATGTTAAAAGTAAAATAAAAAAAATAAAAAAAATAAAAATAATTAAAAGTTAGATGTCAATGTAGGTGTTGTGTGTGGTTGTCACTTACCTTTGATGTGTGCATATGCAGCTATGCTGTTGCTCAGGAGGTCCATTTCTTTTTTCTTCACATCCATGATTGCTCTTCACCTCTTTCTTTATCTGATAACAAAAACATGAGCCACCGTAATTTATAACATTTTGCTGTAGGAGGATGTCAGAATAAGAGGACAGGTTTTAGCCAAAACATTTCATTCTTCCTATACAAAAGTCTGTGACACCTACAAAAACAAAACATTCCCTCAAAAAAAACTACAACTGCCTTTATTCAGTACGAGGCCTATAAGGCTGGAGATGAGTCCTGTCATGCCTGTTCTTAAAAGTCTTTAATATTTCTCCAAA